CCCCCCAATAAAATTAAAGAGGTGTGTGGGCTTGGAAATTAGTTTGTTCTTGTCTTATTCTGTCTCCTGACCTCCCATGAACAAGACATGACCTGGGGCTGGGGGTGGGTTACAGCAGCTGAAAAACCAATCCCACCAGGGGTAAATTAGTTCAGGGGTGTCTTGTTACCAGGCTACTGATGGAAGACTGATCCTCCCAAGGGGAGGGCTGGGGGAGCTGTGAAGAGAGGAGGAAGAGACAATTGGCAGGACCATGCTGGATCCTGGTGGGGAGGGGAAGGGTTGCTGAGCCACACAATCTGTGCAGGGTTTGGGCACTTCCCTCTGCAGGCTTGAGGATGCTGCTTCCCAGCTCTGAGCAAGCCACAGACAAGAAGCCTTTCTCCCTTCTCCTCCTTCATGCTTTCCCCCAGCAAATCCTGACTCAGATGCTGGACAATTTTTTTCTTTCCTCTTTTCCCAGCTGGTAAATGTGGTACAAGGAGGCTGCATGCCTTGCTCTAAAGTCAGAGAATGCCAAGCAGCTGGCTCAGCTGGGATTTAAACAGGGGCCTCTTCCTCATCAGCACACTTACTGGTGTGCAGGTGATTGCTGATAAAGTGCCTCGGGAAAGACCCGCTCTGTTTCTGGTAGCTGCTTTGCTGCTTTTTCTTTCTTTGTACTCTGTTCCTTTTGATTTGCCCTCTGTGCTTTCAGACTCACCTGGTTGCCTGTTTCTTCTGGGCCTAACAAGTGATGGACAGACATCCGAATGTAACTAACTCTCTTTCAGCTGCCAGGGCTCAGATATGTTTCCAGACCTCCCAGAACCTGCAGCACTGGGCTGCAGCTCTCTGTAGGGAAGCTTTCTCATGAGGCACTTGTTGCTTGCAAATGGGTCAGAAGACCAGCAAGTTGGTCGAACTGGCTCCATCCTTTTCCATTCCTACTTGTTTTTATCAGCTACCCCTGGGAAAACATATTGTTTGTATGCTGTCCCCTGCCAGTGCTTTCTTGGGGCATCTGCAGGTCCTACAGCAAGAATGGCTCAATCACTGAGCATCTTAGCACTGAAACCAGATCACGAGGACATAGTGAACTAAGCAGAGGGGGCAACCTTAACTTTCAAAAGCTCTATTCAGGCTGTGTTTAATTTGGGTCTGTCTGATGCTTGGGGGCACCGAGTTGGTATGCATAACATAAGGGCCTGATCCTGTGATTACTAAGCATGAAGAAAGCCTAGTGACATATCGGGGGACTCCAGCCCTTTATACAACAGGGTAGATCAGTTAGGTCCTTCAGGCCTTAGATGTTTGCTGTGATGGGTTTCCCCAGCCCATATGATGGGTTTGTGGGGACGTCATTTCCTCAGCCTCAGGAATATTGGCTCAGAAAAGCAGTACTGAATATGAAGAGCTTTGAAAGCTGGGAGTTACATTTGAATGCAGTTAGAGAATGCCTAGATACCGTGGAAATCAAGTGAGAAGTTGGCTTCTCAGAGCTACTCAGTGTGTATGTGTTTAATCAAGCATCCCTCACTGTTTCTCTAGGTTTTTACATGCCTCTTCGCCTTAATTTATTATTTGAGGACTTCCCAGAACCTTAAAACCCTGGAGAACTTTGAGTAACCAGGATAGAGATCTTGAACTTTGCTCTGCATTCAAGGGGGAGCCCTTGTAGAGAGCAGGTTTATGCCAACCCATGCTGCTCAACAGACATGGTGCTATGTCCAGACCAGAGGGCTTGGTATTTTGTTCCTAGATACAAAATATTAGAGGTGCACCAATGTATCTGTCACCTATTGGACCAGCACTGATAAAAGGGAGATTTACATTATCAGCTATTGGCTTTTTTTGGCCATCGTAGCCGATAATGTTCTCCAATTTAATTATGCCTTTTGGCTGGGGCCCCTGAATGCCTGCATTCCCTTCCGCAAGTCAGGGTTACTCCAGATATACCCCCATCCCCTCACCAACAGGTTGAGCTGGGCTAAGGTGAAGCAGCTGCCTGGTGCAGCACAGACTGTGGGCTGGGGCCAGGGCAGGCATTGTAAGAGATGCCTAATGCCTCAGAAGTGACTGGGACAGGTGGAGGTGAGCTGCCTGGCCTGGCCTCACCCAGCCCAGCATAACTCAACCTGCAGCATGACTTAACCTGCAGTTAATATTGGTTATCAGATGAGTATTGGCCAATATGCCTGCTTAATAATCAGCTATTGGTATTGGCCAAGAAAATCTGTATTGGTGCACCCCTGCAAAATATAGCAGCCAAGCCTAGAAGTCCTGAACGCAGAGCTTACTCTGCTGATTTGAGGAGTACAATCTTCTCACCAACTGCAGGCAGAGGTGGACACCCTTTTCACCCATGAAAATAAAAGAGGGTCATCTACAGGGTTTGTCCTGACCAAGATTCAGAGGTGTTCTAGGATGCAGGGTGGCACAGACTCAAATAAATAATAATAATAATTATAATAGGATGTGTGAGCTCACGTCTTTTAAAACTCAGAGCAATGTGGACTTCTAATGCATTAGTTTCCATTAAAGTTCAGAAGTCATCTAGCTAACATCTTCTGACAGCAATGCATTTACATTTCAGTTGGTGCTAACTCACAGCAGAAGCTATTGCTTTGATGCCATTTTGTTTTCCCTTGTATCCAGCGTCTTGAATGCCTAGCCTCAGTCTTGACCAAGCTGAGCTATTGTCGGCTGTTCTTCAACAAGCTGTTCTCTGGGGGCAGCCATGGGGAAAGCTGGGAGATGGAGTGCACTTGATAGCAAGGGGATATAGGGCTGGAGTCAGTGATGCCCTGCCATGGTCTCAGCAGCCTTCTGGAGAGAAATGGAGTGGTCTGGGGGAGAGGATTGAGGCTTCTGGGACTTTCCAGATAAGAGTTTTAGAGCCAAGGGAGCCACTACCCATAAGAGCCCTCAAAGTTTGTCTGAAAGGAAGGGCCCAGCCCATTCCAGTATGCTTCTATTCACTCCTGTGATTATATGGAGAGAGGACAGGGGCAGTAGTGATCATTGGTTTTGATTGCAGCAGGGTAAATGTGGATGTAATCCCCTAATCATCTGGCAGGAAGAGGTCATCCAGGTTTACTGTGTCCTGAAATAATTCTGACCGAGTATCACCTGGGACATTTTTTACTAGATTCCAACTTTGCTGTCTAGCTTCCAGTGCCCCCACTTTCATCCTGTTGCTCACTGTGTCTGTCTATATATTATAAACCCTTTGAGGCAGGAACTGTCAGGTGGTCTGTACAGCTCAGTGGGCCCTCAGCCTAGTTGGGACCACTGGGCACTACAGTATGGGCGACAGACAGTATCAGAGGCGATCAGCACGATCTGCTCAGAAGAAGCTGGTTAATGTCCTGCTGAGCCATTTGAATAAGGAACTAGTGGCGCTCCATTACTGGGCTCAGCAGGTGATAAACTGTCTCCTGCCTGTTATCTAGGGGCAGAAGAGTTTCATGTGTGCTTGCACAGTAGTGCTGTCCAGAGGTGTCTAGATAAGAGAACAGCCACTCTGCATGGTACAAGATGCTCTGCATAGTATCTTCCTCTCCCACCTCTCTTGCCTCTTTTCCCACCTTGTGTCATCTTTTCTTTAGCACTTCCAGCAATACCAGCTGGGTCTTGCTGTATGCCAGGCTTGGCTAGGAGAAGCCTCAGCAGCGTAGATATGTTTCTCTCACCAGTCAGGTCTGCTGAAATCAGAAGCCCCAAAAGCCAAGAGAGAATCAAGACAGGTTTTAAATGATCCCAGTCATGTTTAGCCCTTCAGGAAGAGCAGAGCCACCAGGGCAATCCCTGAGCAAATGATAAACTAGGGTAAATTACCCTTTCTGCTCCCCTGTCACCTTGACTAGGGTCTCCAGAGTCCTCACAGCTGTTGTTTACCTGGGCTGCAACCCAGCTGTGTAGACCTACCCTGTGCCTCAAACAATACTAAATGCACTTGATTGAGGACATTTTATCTGAAATCCCTTTGTGACCCCAGAACCCCTGGGGGTCATTTAAAGTGTGTAGTAACTCCAGGCTAGTATGTGGCTGTGACACCCCAAGGGAGCTTCACCAGGGTACCCAGCCTGAAGGCAGGATCAGTGTTTCAGGATCAGTGTTTCTTCAAGTGCTGTATCTCCTGATGGGCCTTCCTATGACACTATCCAGAGCTGGAGAAGTCTGTATATTGGTCCCTGGCTCCCTCAGTGGGTTTAGTTTCTGACAGTTGTTTTTCCTAGTTCCCCTCCCCTGGGTTTGTTGCGGGTAGCTGTTGCTTGATCAATCTTACTTCCTTTTATGACCAAGTGACCTATCACCTGGACAAGGGAGAGGAGATTGATGTCGTTTATCTTGATTTTAAAAAAGCCGTCGATCTGGTATCCCATGATCACCCCTTGGCAAAACTGGTCAACTGTGGCCTCAGGTCCACCATGATCTGCTGGCTGGGAAATTGGCTCCGTGGTTGGACCCAGAGGGTGGTGGTTGACAGAAGTAATCATCATGGTGCCCTGTGACCAGTGGGGTACCACAAGGCTCTGCCCTTGGACCTGTATTGTTCAACATCTTCATTAATGATGTGGACATTGGAGTCGGAAGCAGACTGGCCAAGTTCGCCAATGATACCAAACTTTGAGGTAAAGCATCCACACTTGAGGTCAGGAGAATGATCTAGGCTGACCTTGACAGGCTCAGGAAAACACCAAAAAATACAAGGTTCTCCA